AGGGCGTCTTTCTTGCCTCACCTTCATCTCATGCCTGGACTAGTACCTTGCAAAAAGCAACCCCTCAACTTCTGAACCCAAGATACCATCAGTTTGAAGACATCAATATTTTATTATGACTAAGAAAGAAACATGCTTTCAGTTATTTGTAAGATACCGTCGACTGAAAGATACATGGCAGTGTCTGATAAATGAAAAGGGGGGTGGGGGTGAATGCATCTTAGAATCAATTAAGTAGTTTTCATCTACTCCTGTTCTCACATTCTCCATTGCACATGTTAAACATGCTTTTGTAAAAAATATATCTCTAATTCTTGTGGGTCTGCTCACCTCCCTTGTAAGTCCATACTTAGAAATCATTTCACTTATTTTTTTTACACCAAGGGTTCCTGTGTTGTGACACTGTGGATTTGTGTTGGCCTTACCCTGAGGCCCGTGGGTTTCTGCTGATTTTGGCCAGTTTTTAGGCAGAGTCTTGACTAGGAGCATCTGCAGAATGGGGATCATGGGAATCTAGATCTCACGCCAGTACGTGGCCCATTTTCCAATGGATGACCTTTGGTCTGCCATAGGTGACTTGGGTGGATGCGAGAGTTCTTGTCGCTTCCCTGGACCAGGGCCTGAGGGCTTCAGTGCCTCCTTTCCCAGCCTGGGCCATACTCCTGGGCAGTCTCTTTATTTGGCAGCCATTGCTGGCTCCTCTCCTAGCATGAGCCCACAGAATGACAAAGCCAGATTTGACAAGTGGTTTACAAGAGCAATACAACCCTTCCAAGCTCTTTCTTTTTCATATCACACCACTCCAGGCCACAAGTCCTTCTGCCCATAAAATTCAAGTGGACATTTTCGTCTCCTTTTTCAAAATTCTCGAATGTATTTTCCTTTTCTTGTATCTTCTTGCTTTCTCTAGGTCTCATGGAAGACCAACATATCCTCTTCCGAGCCACAGATACCCCTGAGGTGTTTGAGGCTTTAATTGTTAGGGTTCGTGTCCTGGGATAGAAATAATAATTGACTTAAGAAAAATGTGTTAAGCATCAAGCATGTGAAACACCGTGCTAGATGCAGGAGAAATAACAAGATAGTCTCTTTTACCTTGAGTCGATTAGAGTTTAGTGAGAGTTTTATTTGGGAAAAAAAAAGAATGTTTGTCTATTTCAATGGTCCCATTTTCTTTTCGCTTCATTTTCCTCGAACAGCGCTTATGTTCACCCAGGATCGTGGAGAAGGCCTGACTGCTTGGTGATAATATGACTTCACGGATTTTCTTTTTGTCGTTCATGCAGCTGAGCAGGAGGAAGAGGCTCACCCTGAATACAAATTTGGAAATGAGCTTTCTGCAGACGACTTGGGTCACAAGGAAGCTGTGGCAAACAGTGTCAAGAAGGTCAGACTCTTCGTGTTCCCCTCATTCCATGACTCTCAAAAGGCAGCATCTGCTAGTTAGGACATTTGAGAAATGTCACCGCTACAAGAGAATCAAGTAGCCTATAACCCCCCTTTGAAATTGGGTGGCCAGATGCCTCCTAACACTCCGTGCTCACCTTTATGTTTCATTACTACATAAAGCCTTTATCAATTCCCGGACACGAGTGTTGAATTGCTGAAGAGTGGCCTTTCATGCTTGCTGCCCTGTATCAGGAGAGGTAACCACATCGATTATCTCCCAAGCCCCTGACTAAATCACTAATGAAATCACTATTAGGAAGGATCTTAGTCGGTGAAAACTATCAACAAAGGAGGGAGATAGCACTAAAGTTAGTTTTTCTGTTATGTGAGACAATGAGACTGTCATATCTTCTCAGTATTCAGTTTTGTCCTTGGCTTTATGTCATCAATAAATTCCCATCTTACATAAATAGAATCACAAGTTTACCTATATTTATTTAATATGTGTGTGCTTGATAAATTTGCAATTCTGCCCTTTAGAAAAGTAAACAATTTATTGTCTTTCTCTAATGTAGGCTTCTGATGACCTTGAACATGAAAACAACAAAAAGGTAAGAAAATAATTTCCTCATGCGTTTTGTTTGCATTATAAGACACCATATGTGGCCCTCTGATACTAAACATTTTGTACCGAGCGTTTTTAGTCTTTCTCTCTCTGCCTCATGGAGTGTCAGGCTTACTCTTTATGGGTATAATATTTACATGCCTGCTGCATCTAATTATAAGAGTCTTCAAAAGAAAGAATTAATAATAGTTAATGAAATGATTAAATCCCGATAAAATTCCAAAACTAGGTTAGGTAATATGATAATTTTCCTAAAAATAAGTGTTTAGTGCAATTAAGTATTTTCTTAGCTAAGAGTAGAGATTTTGTTCTCAGAATAGGAGTACACATAATCATCAACACATTGGATTTGAAAATACAAATGACCTCATAGGTCAGCAAATCCATACTGTAGTGAAAGAAAAAGGCAATCTTGATTCCAACTACTTTTACGTTCTGGGAGATCGTTAGTTAATTTCACATTTTACACATTCTAGGAGTTTATTTGACATTATTAGATATTGACTTTATTGTAAGGAAAATAAAGTTCCATCTTTAGTTTCTCTTATCCCCTTCAAAGTTCCTCATGATATCAAAGTGGTCTTATTTGGTAAATGTCCATGGTTTATTATAGTAGTGGCCATCCAGGCAGAAATTTGCCTTGTAATTTGATTCCCACACTGCAAAACATCAGAAAATACTGTCTCGATATCTATGGGTTCCTATCTTATTTGGAATAAGACTCTATCTTCTTACTGTCTAAATATTAAGTTTGTGATAATTATGGGTAGGTCTGATCCAATTTTCCCCTAAGATGTTTGCGAAAATTCTCTTCTAGTAGAATTTCATAAGCTAATGGGATCAACAAAAGACAGGTTGGCCTTTGGTCACTGCTCTTTCTTAGCCAAGTAGCTGTGATTGAGTTATTGTCATGCTTAAGGCCTCAGTCTCCTCATCTGGTCAATGGGTAGGACTATGCTTCTTACTATACATGATTAATGACAGTAATGAAATTGTGCATGCAGGAATTCAGCCCAGTGCCTGACACATGATACTGACTGGTGTTACTTATTATCATTAAATGCACAAGAAAAGTATCAGACATGGCCTCTGCTCTTATGTGGGGAGTCGGGACATGTGAAAAAATGATTTAAAAAACAATAAGTTACATTATTTGATATTTCTGTCAAGCTTTTATTGATGAAATCAATTTGATGATTTAGAATGTCAAGTCAAGTTAGACAAACGGTCTGACCATTTTTTTAACTAATGAATTGATTCACATGACTAAGCAGTTTATCCACCTGTAACAATCTATAAAGGAAATTTAGCTTTTCAAAGTTCTCAACAAAATATTGCTCACTTTTGAAGGCAGTGTTTTTGTTGTTGATTTTGTTCTAATTTACCAAAAAATAAACTCAAATAATTTAGTTTTTTTCCTCTATGTACAATAATGAAATATCAATTTCAATAGGACAACTTCAGTGTCCTATGTAACGGGTGATCAGATAGTTTTAAGAATAACCTTGTTTTTTTAAATACCATAAACTACTTATGTATGTGGCTTAAATTCTACAGCAATGTTAAGCAGTGTGGTCCCCAGACAAGCTACATGATTATCATTTTAGTTAGAAATACAAATTCTTGGGCCTCACTCCAGATTCATTCCAGAAACTCTGAGGGCAGGGCCCAAGAACTTGTGTTTTAATAAGCCTTCCAGGTGATTCTGATGAGCACGAAAGTTGGAGAATAACCCTGTTTTACTTTGTGCCTCTATTTGTGAAATAGGAATAATTCTTTACATATATATTTTTTTTTCCATATCATTGCTGTGAACCTCAGTATAGTTTCTTGAATATTTTAAAGTCATTTGAAAATCTAAACGATGTCCTGAAAATGTAAGATAAGAAACAGGTCTTTATCTTTCTATTTGTACCTGTGTAAATTATCTTAGGTGATGAAGTCTTTAGCATATGTATGTGACTCCGCTGAAGTCATGGACACCCCTATTCCCTTCGTTGTGCTTGCAGGGCCTGGTTACTGTAGAAGATGAGCAGGCGTGGATGGCATCTTATAAATATGTAGGTGCTACCACTAATATCCATCCGTATTTGTCCACAATGATCAACTATGCACAGCCTGTAAAGTTTCAAGGTTTCCATGTGGCTGAAGGTAACACCAAAGGTTAAATGCTATTGCCTTTTTTTGTCTGCTTTTTTGTTATTATGCTGATGAGCTGTGATCTGACGTGTTGCCATTTTCTGGGCATGGGGACTGTTCCTCGCCTTATTTTTGTTTCACAGACCGCATGTCCTGGCATGTGGTGGCATTTATGATGTCATTCCCTCCATCATCCACAGGGTGGCTCTGACAGACTGGATTTGTTAACACATGAAGAGGGTAGCCTATTGCAGTCAATATATTTCATAAGACCTCTTTTCATCAAAAGCTGGTCTCCAAAAACGTAGAAAGTATTTTATAACTTGGTAATTATGTCTGGGCTACAGAAGCAGCCGCCTCCACCACCACCACCACCACCACCACCACCATCATCGTCATCATCATCATCATCAAATATACCTATTTCAAGGGTGGTTGCGTGTGGCAATCGTGTACACATAATTTGCTTAATGACTCCAAATTTAATTCATCACGCTTTTTTTTAAAGTCAGCTGTCTCCATCCGCAGGACGTTAATGAAAGGAGGAGATACTGATAAGATAATGGAACATCTGCCTGCAAAGCCTCATGATTCAGGGTGTAATTATATTTACTGCTTGTCTTTCTGTGAGGGTTTGATGGCAGGGTTTCTGAGTGCATCTTTGCTTTTCTTTACAGAACGCAATATTCATTATAACATGTCGTCTTTTAATGAGTCAGTTGGCCTCGGCTACTTGAAGACACACGCAATTGAGTTTGTGAAGTATCCTTATGGAATAAGTGGAATGAGTGGTTGGTACACTTTGGGTATGTCAGGAGTCTCTAAAATAGATAATTAGGTAATACATATTTGTGGTTGTAGAGCTAATACAATAATATGTGAGAAAGACCACAGCGGCTGTGAAAATCTGCCCAAATGTGAATTGTTTTTGTAATCCACACAGCAAACTGTGGTTTTTCTCTGAAGCATCATTTATAAATGTGACATTTACTCTGTTGACGACATGTTTGTCATTGTTGGTTTAGATCTTAATGTTTGAATTCTTTGTTCTTTATTTATCACTGCCGAAATACTCTTTTTTTCCATCCTCCTTAATACATTACACAGTTATAACAAACGGCAAATGAGTCGCATTTACCCCAAGGGAGGCCGAGTCGATTCCAGTAATTACATGCCTCAGATTTTCTGGAACGCTGGCTGCCAGATGGTTTCACTGAACTATCAAACCCCAGGTAGGAACTGATGTCCACTGACCTCGAATTCCACGAGAATGCTCTGACGGGATGATGCCAACAGTTGCCCTCAGTTTGCTGTGGGCGTTTTTTAAAGGAAGCAGACATATGGCAAAACAATGTGTTGTTGGATTTATGTAATAGTGAGAAATTAAAAACTCAAAATAGACGAATAAAATGATGAGAGGAGATGATATATTTTGATTTAAATTGAATTTCCTTTTGCAAATGCCATGACTACTCTGCTAAACATTTTCCCCTATTCCAGAATATTTCTAAGTTTTCTTCCTTTAGGATCAAACCTACCTTTGTTTCCAGAAACAGAGTTAAATGAGAAGAATTTGAGTATTATTGTATAGGAACTATGGCTCATTTTTACTTTGGAAAGTACCCTTCCCACTGTTAACATTCAGCAGATATCAATGACACAGTGGTACCTCACCATGAAAGTGCAGAATATTATGGGGTAGACTGCTAAAATGGTGTGTAGGGATTTATATACAGAGGGTGCCGAAAAATGTATACACATTTTAAGAAAGGAAAAAACTATTAAAATTGTAATAATATATCCCGAGAACAAAAGATGAATACAAGTCACGTTTGATTTGTGTAATTACAAGAGGTGCTCAAAGTGGTTACCGTCGGCGTAATTTTAATACAGCTTTTTCCTTTCTTAAAACGTATACACAGTATTTTGGCACCCTCTGTATTCTTAGCGGTACTAATTATAACTTGGTCCTCCAAAGTATGCTCAAAGGCAGGTCCTCCTGGAAGGAGAGGAGTAAATTTTTAAAAGGACATAAACATATTTTAATAAGTTTTTGAGGTTTGCTTAAAAGCCCAGGATCACAATTTTAAGATTAGGGATAGAAAAATCATGGGTTCTGGATGCTTACCTAAAAGATGTGAGAAATATGCTACAAAACCTATACGCTTTCTTGGTTAATTCCACAGTGTGGCCCTTAAAACCGGTAAACAAAACAAAATAAAACAATGCTTTCTTGTTCCGTTCTTAGCTATATGAAGGTACCTCCCATGTTTCCCAATTTGGGACCTTTTCTTTTGCTAGTCCATCTGCCATACATTGAGAATCTCTCGCCACCTAGTTCCCTGTCCTCTGGACTGATGAAAGCAAAGGCCCTTTGACTTTCATCCTTTGCGCATGAATGTAAGCTGACTGTTTTCCCACTGCTTGGTAGAGCCTCTTCAGTGACCACAAGTTGGAGTCAAATGTTTACACAGTGTCCCTATCAGTCCTTGCTATACTAAACTGTGCCCAGGTGCCAGTACAATCCCAGAGTGTTTCTAGCAGAGACAAAATAAAATAAAAAGGCGCTGCTGAGTTTACTTACTTAAAAAGGGGTCAAGTTGTGTTCTCAGTTGTCAGTGGGTCCATTATATGGATTAAATGATCCTAAAGCAGTTTATTCAGTAGGTCAGCTTATGTTTTATTCTGTAATGTTAGGTTTAACCACAACATTTTTAAGAAGAAAAATATCCATCAGCTGACCCATTTCTTTTGCTGATGAAAAGAAATAATGAAGATCGATTTGCTTAGAAAAGAAAAATCATAAGTCATGCCCTGTCAGTGTAGACCCCACTACAAGAATTCTCCTTAACTCACTGCTTTTTACATGATACTTACCTACTTTTGTTTCTTTTTAGAGCAGTTTTATTTCACATTTAATCTGGGTGTCTCCAGTGTATCCGTCCTCTGGGTCACAAGGCACACCCTCTCCAACTATATCAGGTTGAACATCTGTACTCTCAACACTAATTGAACGATCATATAAGTCATATATTGAATCCAAGTATTAAACTAGTGCTAGCATGATCTATATGAAAATCCACTTAATGTTTAATTTAAATTAAACAGAAGATTATTTCAACATGGAAGAGACAGTTATGTGCCTTAAACAGACCCAGTAGTGACTTGTGGTATTAGAAAGGACCTTTCAGCCTAGGATCAGTATCTGATTTCCATTGTTTAAAATCACCCCATCAGGATCTTCTTTGTCCAGAGAGACGAGATACTAAATTACTTTTGTCTCTTGACAGATTTAGCGATGCAATTGAATCAGGGAAAATTTGAGTATAATGGATCGTGCGGGTGAGTAATGTGATTTAAACTGTTGTCACCGTGTTCTAGCACTCCATACTACAGCTGTAATGAAACCGTGTCATTTTTAATTAGGGACCACTGAATTTAAGCTGGGTTTGAGGGATGGGGTAGAAACAAATGAAATCCCTAGATAGGTTATATTTGCAAATAAATATTCTTCGCCTACCCCAGTTTTACAGATTTTTTTTAAAAATCTGAACCACAAGTTAAGCAGTTTATCCTACATGCTCTAGAGTTTAATGTTCTCATTTTAAATTCAATAATGGAGGTTTTTATAGCCAGGACAGATAATGATCCCTGTTCATTTGGGCATTAACTGGACATTAAATGTGTGTATTCTACCTAGGACAAATAGAGGAACAAAATGGATATAATACATAATGAAATGATGGGTGGCCAGTTGAATTTAATTCAGTTAAGAAGAAAGCTTTGTTCTCCCTTGATTCTTTCACATGTCTTATAAATAGCAGTTATCAAAAACTGACGCTGTGAATGTTGTTCTAGTTTACTTAAATAGCTCTCTGAAACCTATGAGCCAAGTAAGGAAACAGGAAATGTCAATTCCACTGAAATAATGAAAGGTTAAATGAAAATATAAAACTAAAATTCTATAAACATAAAAAAACACCCGTGTGTCCATTTTTCCTCCATGCACCTATCCCCATATAGTACTGCAGGTCAATAACCCCAAACCACTGCCCAGAGGCCCCTAAATTAGTCCAGTGGAGCACTGTTCTATCCCATAATGCTACTGTCAGGAAGTTCTTGGTCTCCCTGTTGGAGATCTAATTTTCATCACTAAAAACAGCCAGTCAAGATAAAAGTTTTCCGTAGTTGTGGGTTCAGAGTGCACACCCCCCACCTCTTCATGTCTGCCACGTTGTTCTCTGCCAGTGTCCCTAAACGCATGGGTGACGGCCCTAGTACCCAAATCACCCACCACACACATCGCTGGAGCATACACAACGTTTTTGTCTCTACTGTGTATTTTGAAAGAAATAAAACGTGTATTCTCTACCTTAAACTAATACAATGTTATATGTCAATTATAGCAATACAACTGGGGGAAAATGAAATAAAAATTCTGTAGTTCAAAAAACAACCAAATACACATGTTGGTGTTTTTTTAAAGCTATTTTGTTATTGAATGCAGAGTGTTCCTCATAGGAGATTGTGCACGTCCCTGATGGGTGGGCCCCCAGTGGTAGGCCGAGGCAGTGAGGCCCCAGGGGCAGCTGTGGGTTGGGAATAAAAGCCCTCGGCTCGCGTTTGAAGCCTGGGTTTGAATCCCAGCTCCTGAATCCTCGTGCTGGCTTCATGGGCCTGGGCAGGTGTGTTAGACTCTGAACCTCGATTTTCTGCTTGATAAACTGAAGACAATAACACTTACCATGCCGAGTTAGTTGTTACAGCTCAGTAGGATGAACATAATTGTAGATGAAAGTACTTCATGAACTGCAAATTTTTGTGCAAAAGTGAGGTTTACGAACGACTTAAGACCTTATAGTAGATGACACATAGCGATCACACAAGATTAAACGAGCACCCTGATCAGATCAGGCCCTTAAGTTCAGGGAGGCAGCCACAGCCCTCAGGCTTCACATCAGACACATCCGGCCTGGCTGAGTCCCCTCCTTAGACCTTTCCCCGTGGCCCAGTAAAACCAGAGCCTTCCATTCATGCCTTAGCTGTCCCAAAGCTGGTACCGACACAGGGAAGAGAATTGCTTCCAGATAAAAGGGGTCCCAAAAGGAGTTGTATGCATTTATTATGTTTCTTTTCAGGAGTTTTCCATTTTGCCATAGTCCGCATGTTCAGTGACCCACTTTCCACACCATTGTTTATTTTAAAATATGTTCATAAGCAAGAACGGTGCTACTGTAGCCTGAATGCTATATTGATGTACGTGAGGCAGTGTGACCTAAGTTCCACTAGAGGCACAATTGTAAAAAATACGATTACTCAGCGGGGCAGCCCAACTGTAGAGGCGTTGACAATACTGTTGAGTCTTATGTGCCCTGCCTCCCCCCATTCCCTTTGCCTCACATCCAGCCTGGAGGCAAAGTTTGTTACCAGCGGGCAAAGAGAAGAAATGTCTCTGTGTGTGCTTCTCAGTGACAGAGGAGTCGTACCTGCTAGGTACGAGACTAGCCGCTCAGGACACTTTTCCATGGAGCAAGGGCCTCCAAGGTGCTCTGTGGCTCCCACATGTTGCCCTTGTCATTTCTCCACCCACCAGCAGGGACTTTTTGTTGTTGTTGTTAGTTTCAGGTGTACAGAACAATGCAATAGTTACCCTTTTCACCCTTCAGACAGAA